ATCCCAAGCTTTGCTTTTTTAGCTTCCCAAATGACAACAGTTAATGATGTGCGATTTGGAACATTTTGAGGGCCATTCCTTCCATGAATCATACCTAATGGAAGTACAGATAGCTTTGTTCATTGGATCATGGCAGAGGCCCAGCAATCATTACATGTCATTAACCCAGAGTGCCTTGGGCACTCAACAAGATGGCAGACAAAGGAAGTTCAAACTTGCTGTAAAGGCAGAAAAAGAACTAACAAGGTTAGAGGAACAATTTTTAGTTCCAAATATTTTAAGTTTCATACATTTACCCTTTTGAGAAATATTTGCCTGAAGAGTGGAGGTTCCCTTTAAACATTTGAAAGAGGAAATGCAAGTGAACTTAATGATGACAATATCCATGACACCAAGAGAGTTGCATTTAATGTATAATTTTATGACTTTGTATATTACAGTCATTAATTTATTAGTATAGAACAATGTGTTTAACTTTTTGGGAGGACTGAAAGTGAGACATTCAGTGCCTGGAGACTGCGTTAGTGTGTGTAATTAATTTTGCTTAAATTTTTCTCTGGTTTGCTGTAAGTTTTTTATTTATATATAAAATTGTCAACAGTCATCTTAAGAAGCCCAGGGCAACAGGTTTACTTTGCATAATTGCTACAAGTTAAACTGCCTCTATTGGGTATGGTATGACTGCAATTTAACCTGTAGTTTTAATAGCAAATTAATTATCTGAGTATCATGTAAATGAAAATATGTTTCATATGCACTTTTTTGAATTTAGTGATGAAATAATATGAACATCCAAGGTTTGTGATATAACCAGTATTTATAAAGTGGATAGCAATGCATAGCTAGAAAGTTTACCATAATTTTTATTGTATTTTGGCAGTTACAAAGTTTTTATTTGTGATAGCAGATTCAAACAAATTCTCCTGGTCTATGATTACGTCATCTATGGAAATTTTTGAGGGCTTCCTTAAATTGTGACATACAGATGATCATTGAGCCTTTTTGTTAGGTGTGATTATGATGGATGATCAAGATTGCATTGGAAAAAGTAGGGGGAGAGGGAGGGGGAGGGAGGAGGGTTGGAAGGACACCTCACATACAATGACTTACCATGATAAAAAAAAATTTACAAAGTACAGTACAGCTGGCACTCAAATGTTAGATGAAAGTCCCTTGAAAATTAATGCTCAATTCTCGATTCTCAACAGTTCTGAGTTTTGAGTGGAAACTGTCAACTTACTTTTGAGTGGTACTGTACATGTTCCTGTGAGGATAAACTAGGTAGCTTCATGTTTTACTTTTAATCTAGTTAGAGGTTTCCTCTAAAGATGAAGCAAATTAATTAACCATGACAAGTAAAAGTAGAAGAATACATGGTAGAGCACCTTATCTCTGCAGTTCATTGAAACAGAAGTTTTTTGTATATATGTCTACTACTACTCTGAAGTGGAAAACTTTAATGGCCGGCAACATTTTTGATTTCCATAGAGTTGTTTAGGGGCAATTCAGTCATTGTTCATGAACTGTCTTGCTCTCTCCCTGCAAACATCAAGAAGACTGGCTTTCCTAGTTGTGTGTCTATGTTTGTGACAGGTTTTTAATTTTTGTAGTTTGTTTCTGTAAGCTTTATTTTGTCCCACCTTGCAGAATTAGTCCTTAGGCTTGTCAGGTATCATTTCAGTCTGGTGGCTGACAATCATAAGGAACTTGTATAATTATGCCTCTCCATATACAAAATTGCAATAACATCATTTTATTCATTTGTGATATTTAACCATTAGACAGTGCAAGTATTTATAATGCAGTCCCTTGAGATCGTGATGGAAACTCTGAAAATTGTGAATGGAACCAAATAATTATTATGATGAATAAACAAACATTTTCTGTTGATAAACAGCCAGTATACATATTGCTTTATTTTAAGGGGGGAATACTTCTTGAGTTACCACTTACATTTCATACATATTTACCATATTTCTGCATTAAATATTTCTTTGCTGAAGAGGTTTATTAGAAGGTAGCTTTTTACAATGCAATTAAAAAGTTTTAAAAATGCTTCAACTTCATCAAACATGCAAGTTTCAGGGGATCTTTTAGGAATACAATTGGGGTTGGTGAGGTTACAGTACTTTTTCAAAATGCAGGTGGAAAGCATCAAATATATCTTTTATCTCACTTTTCCCTCTAACATCCCAGAGTTCTGTCCTTGTGGTGTAGCCCTGTGTACAGGAAACCATTAGCTTGGCACCTCACTCTCTCTTGAGACACTGTATTACACCTATCCTTAGTTAATGGAAAGGGGGTGATCTGATGATAGGAGGACCATATCAAATTAAAGGAGTGGACTGAGATTGCAACTTCTTTTATTGTAAAATTAATAATGAAAGATGAGCACAATTCCTTACCAAGCACTATGATATTTCTTTTCGGTCTACCTGCCTGGTTTTGAAGATAAATTCTTCCTCATTCCAAGTGGGGGTAGGGAGAAGTGATTGAGGGTCTACCGAAAGAATTCTTGATAGGTATGTACCACCTGTCTTGTCAAGTCCTAACCTTACTTCAGGCTAAAACAAGCTTCTTTCCATCACCCATTTTCAGAAATGGGCTTCAAGATCCATAGTCATTTTTCGACTTTCTAGACTTAGCAATTGATAACTGTTCCCCTAAAATCCAGTTAAATGTGATACTATAATCACCCCTCTTTCTCTGTTATTTCGTTTGAATTTGGTGAGACTTGTACGCTGAACTCTCTTGTGGTTCCTTAGGAAACCATTCTCGAATCATTATGAGAAAAAGCTATAACTGTTTTTGGCCCAAAACGGCGTCATATCGCTAATAAAGGAAGAGTTCCAAGTGATCTGGCGCGAGATCTACAAAGGCTTGGTTACACAGCCCAATGCATGCACAGAGAGGATTGCACAGAGGAAGCTGTCTGACTGCACCAGGGAGAAGTTGTGCTACCTGAGTGTTTTTTTATGAATTGTCCGCAAAATTTTGCTCGCGAACACCTTTGGAATGTCTTATTCACCAGGTGACTTAATCTGGGCCAAGATGCGTGGCTACCCGCATTGGCCAGCCCGAGTAAGTCATCAAATGTTAGACAACTAATTTAATTAACTAGGAAGTTTGTTCCCTGTGCGTGAGCAAACTTGAGGAGACATTTTTAATGAACATACTGTTTTATTTCGTGATTTAGATCGATCTTCCTGCACAAGACGAGAAAATTCCTCCTAAAAAATTTGCCATCTTCTTCTTTGGTACTCACGAGACGTAAGTTTAAAAATATCACATTTTCGTTCACTTTTTTTCTTGTTTCCTCGTGTAATTAAGTGTTGGCAGTAAACTACGAATTTTCTTTTGCAGTACATAGGACAGTTAGCAAAATTGTTTGTGGTGTTGTTTGGTAACGTGTAATCCTTTGTGGTGGCTTATTCACTGATTTGTTTTTCTTGGTTTATTTGTGTTGATCATCCTGACCAAGGATTTACCATGATCCAGGCGATTTTTATCAGTTAATCATGATTGTGTACACATTGCTTCAGAACCTCTTATGTCAAAGATAGAAAGTCTTATCAGTCACTGTGTACAAACATAAATTTTATGTCTCTTGTCATCTTTAAAAGTAGGGTCGAGTGCCCAAAGACATACCAGAACTCTAAGCCATGACCATCTTGGTCACCGTGGTATATAAAAAGATTTCAAACATCTATTATGACTAAATCTGCTAGGAAAGTCACCAATTTGGTCAAGAGGTGTTCTTTGTTGACGGGTTTTGTGTATGCAAGTTTCTTTATTTCTTGAGACGAAAGTAAAACTAGACAATAGGAGGTCCTTTTGAACTTGACAGTGTACTAGACAGTGTAACTTTTGATCGAAACATTAAAAAATTTACTTGCTAAGGGGACATCTAAACCAGAGCTTTAAATCTCCAGCCATAAAATGTTAGTTGCATTAGTGCCTGTATTGGTCATAATCTTAAGCCCTTACTTTTGAAACTGTTTTATTGGAGACAGCTCCCTGAACCCCTCTTTTGAATTAAAAGCCATATTGAAGGATATCTCACTTCTTATTAACCTACTAGTAGCATGATTTTCAATGTTTCCAGGGCTGTGATGCAAGCCAAAGATTTGTTTCCATATGAGAAGAACAAAGATAAATTTTTGAAAAACTCAAATAGATCAAGAAGAGGTTTCAAAGAAGCTTTAGTGGAAATTTTGGAGAATCCAAAGGTGAAATGGGGTATGCGTGGACAGGATGTGGATGAGCAAGATTCAGAGGATGAAGAGGGAGAAGGAGACGAAGATTCTGGGGATGAGAAGAAGTCAGAGGATGAAGACTCTAATAACGAAGATACCAAGCCATCAAAACAGGTAAAGAATGATATTTGAGACTTAGCAGATATGGGTGGAGTACAAGTGTAGATAGTGTAACTTGCCTGACAAGGAGCACCCTCATTTGGAAGAGCATCCCATTGTAGAATTATGAGCTCTGAGTTGTAATCCTCATGACTAGCTTAGTTTTTCCTTTGTCCCTCTCTTAAGACTAAGGTTCAACTTCCTTAGTCATTTAAGGTAAAATCTGCACTTTTGTTAAGTGGTCCATCCTGCTGGGGCTTATGCAGATTCCCTTAGCATGAAGCAACCAGGAGTATCGTTACTCTCCCCTCTAGAGGATTTTAGTGCACAGCAGGTTATCGTCCATTAGTATTCTGTCAGGTTTCTGGGGTGGAGAGAGACACTGTAAGTTAGAGTAAAGTATCTTACCAAAGAACACAACACAATGACCCAGCACAGTTTCAAACCTAGACTAACAAGCTAACTATGTTGCCCATGTT